TTGAGAACTCATACTTATACCATCTTGATTATTTCCTGGAAATTTGAAGTAAAGTAGTAAGGAAACTCTTGTGAAACATTTTGTTGTTGTCGTTGTTAGCGGCTTTAATTGCTGGATTTGATTTGTTCGATACCATTGTAGCCATTTATCAGAAAATGAACTGAAATGGAGAAATGAGCAAATAATCCTCAGGAAAGAAGCCAGTCAACTTTTCCTCGTCAGCTAACTGGTTAGTGCGCCTTGCCTTTTTGTGGTACTAAAAATTAAAGTTACGCATAGAGGAATGATGAAAAATTTCATACACTATATTATTATACACTAGCCCAGCAAACTTCCAAATAAAATTCTCTCCAAGTAAGACGATCTCATACAGAAAAAAATAACTACGAAATAACCTGTAGGTATATCTAGATAGTTTGTAGGCGCAGTAACTACTGATAATGAGTTCAATTGCATTCAAGAAGAAATCACATGTGAGATGCGCGCGACTCATTCTGAGGAATGGAACTCCTTATTATACATAACTTACTATTTTATTGGGAATTGCGTCATTTTGCAGTTCAAAGATTTTGAAAATGGTTTTTCTAGAAAATTTCAATGACTGAATTTCTACTCCCACTCTATGGTTCGTGGGTTTGCTTGGAGTACCAGCGTTAGAAAATATAACCGTACTTTTGATTGCAAGAAAAGACCACCTAAAGAAGCGTGCTGCGTACAAATTGTGAGTTTACAAAAGTTTACGATTTCAAAGAATAATGGTAGAAGTTAAATGCTACTGCAAAAAACAGGAGTGTTACTCCCTCCAAGAGCATATTTATTGGCTTCGCATATCGATTCGAATTTGTTTAAAGGATTGATTTTCAGTGTCGCACAAAATGAGTAGCAAAATCGATTGAAAGTATGGAAGAATAATTGCAAATACATGGTTTAACTTAGATCAAGCGTGAAATCTGAGCGGCTGGTGGCTGGCGATGGTGGTCTCGCGTACGATAGGCATCTTTAATAGACCCGTTTCAAAGGTAGATAAGATGCTATGTCTGTGAAACTATCGCTCTAATCCCCTTATGCCTGTTGTGGTCTTTAACCTTAGGGTATTTGGTACAGTATGTTCATGTGGGAACATCTGCATCATTTGTTCGAGGAAAAAAAGAGTGACACGACAGTTCGCTGACGCAGCCAGCTGGTCATGTCTTTCTTCAGAGGAACAAGAACGATTGTACGATGGAAAGACAGAGTTCAGGCTATAGATGTTTAGAATATTCCTTGGTGAGGTTACCTGGACGAGTTGTCAGAATATGCAGACGAGATCGGTTCGCCGTAGCTGAGAGGTGTGCGGGGTGCGCTAAAACTGGACGACGACGGCATTTAGGCGTTTGCACAGACACGCACTCACACACACACAAAACGACGATTAGATGATGCGTCGCGATACGGGGCGAAGCGAAGCGGGGGGGAGTAGACGGTTGAGGGAGGCGATGGGCGACGGCCGGGTCGTCGCAACCGCCAACGGACAAAGGAGCCAGCAGGGGGTAGCCGTCGTCGTCGTCCGGATCGTTCCGTTGTCTGTATCCTTCTTCCATCCCTTCCAGCTCTACGGGGGTGAATCTCTTCGTAGAGCCTGCTCTATGCTATCTAATCGAATTGCCTTTGTCCCTCTCCCTCACCTTTCTTCGCGCATTTCTCTTCTAGCGCTAATGCCAGCGCAATAAAACGCCCTACGTTCCAGCGCTAGGCCCTCTATCGGGCTCAATAGGCCATATGGCAGAAAAGCGAAATTGCTTTGCGGGTTTTTTCTACATAGATGTGATCGAACAAAACGCTGTGTATGTGAGATGAACCCCGCAACTGGCACCAAGCCAATCGTGCCGGCCACGCGCTTGAACTTTTGTTCATCGTAGCAGTTTTTTTGGACAAAAAGGAGGATGGAGGAGGGTTGCAGGGGCAGGCTGGTAACAACCCAATATGGGGGATTTTGGCAGGGTACTGTCTTCTCAGCGGCCTTGCGGAAGGGTTAGTAGATAGGTAAAACCGCCCATGCTCATTCTCAAAGAGTCACGAGCATTATAAAAGTATGTGGTAGCGTAGTAGCCTTACTTTAAAGTTTTTGAACCCAAAGAGAACTTTTGAATTAAAATATCAATTTTGCTCTTTA